TTTTATTCATTTTTAAAAAGAAGTCTTCATGCTTGACATGGGGATCAAACTCACAACCCCAAGATCAAGAGTTGTATGCTCTACCAAATGATCCAGTCAGGTGCCCTGAGGTTTGTTTTGTTTTGTTTTTTGTTTTTACATATTCTGGATGATAATCCTTTACTGGTTATGGCTGACAAATATTTTCTCCCAGTTTGGTCATGTCCTTGCTTTATGGTGTCCTGTTATATAATTTCAGACTTATATAGAAAAGTTACAAAAGTAGTATAAAGAATTTCTTCATCCTCTTTTCCTAGATTCTCCAAGTGTTAATATTTTGCCACATTTGCACCCTCTTCCTCTCTTGCTCCCTGTATATAACATTATGGATATAACACAAGTACACACACACACATACTTATCCTTCACCCGTCCCCCTCCCAGCTTCCTGTGAGAGATTTGAGAATAAGGGAATAAGGGACAGGGGCAGAATGCTGCCTTTTTACATCTAAATAGTTAGATGTATATTTTCTAAAAATAACTCTCTTCAGTAACATTGAACAAGTCTCAAAATCAATAAATTAACACAAAAACACTACCATTATCTAATCTACAGACCTTATTCAGATTTCACCAATTTTCCTCGTGATGTCCTTTAGTGCAAAAGAAAACCTCATATCACATATGTTTCATTCCATTGTTAGGCCTCTTCAGTGTGGGTCTGTCAAGCTCCTTCATCTGAAGTTATTTTTTCCCCTTGGTAATTAATAAGTATATTGCAGGGAGCTACTATGGGAGTATAGAACTACCATGTTACTTTACTTCTTAAGTTCATTACTTTTATGTCCATTGATGATTTTGTCTGAATTATTAATATGATGGTTGCTGAAGAGTGGTTTCCTAATTTCCTCCTTCGTAATAAATCTAGTAGTTGGCTTTCTACTGTTTTCCCCATTATTTATTTATACTTGTATAAATTTATGTATCTTTTATTTGATAGGTTATAATCCCTTACTATCCTTATGTTATTTTCATTCTCAAATTGTGCCAGATTTGGCAGATGAAGCCTCTTAAGCTGGCTCCAGTGTTTTATGATGTCTTTTGCTCAACAGAATTTATTAACTCACATGAAGTTGAATTTACTGATCTTCCATCATGGCTGGTACTTTCTATACCTTAAGAAATATTTCCCTGCTCAACTTTATGTAAGATATTCTCCTATATCTACTTTGAAAAGTTAGAGATATTTGCCTTTCTCATTTCAGTCCTTAATATACCTGGAATTAACTTCTTTTTTTTTTAAGATTTTATTTATTCATGAGAGACACACACACACAGAGGCAGAGACACAGGCAGAGGGAGAGGCAGGCTCCACGCAGGGAGCCCGACATGGGACTCGATCCCAGGACCCTGGGATCCCAACCTGAGCCAAAGGCAGGTGCTCAACCAGTGAGCCACCCGGGCACCCCTGGAATTAACTTTTTATGTTAACTTTTTATTGAACTGTAACATGTATGCAAAAAGTGCTCAATAGAAAAGTGTACAGCTTGGTTTATTTACCTCTTACTGAAGTAAGTAAACAGATTCCTGTAACCAGTGCCCAGATCGATCAAGAGACAGAACATACATTCACAGGAGCCCACAAGTTCCTTGTGTGTCCTCCACTTGCTATCACTTCTCTTCTCCCACCCCCAAGGATGACCCCTCTCCTGACTCTCTGCAAGACTGGGAACATGATGTGAGGTTGAATCTGTATCAGTTAGGGTTTTCCAGAGAAAACAGAACCAATAGAAGACACATAGATAGTTCGTAGATAGACACATAGACAGATGGATTGATTTTAAGGAATTGGCTAACGTGACTGGGGGGTTTGCGATGACCAAAGTCTATAGGTAGAATTTCTTCTGTTAAGGACACCAGTTGCTGGTTTAGGGCCCACCCTAATCCAGTATGACTTTGACTATATCTGCAAAGACCCTATTTCTTCTCTCTCTTTTAAAGATTTTCTTTATTTATTCATGAGAGACACAGAGAGAGGCAGAAAGAAAAGCAGGCTTTCTATGGGGAGCCCGATGTGGGACTCAATCCCCAGACCCCGGGATCACAACCTGAGCCACCCAGGCATTCTGGCCCTATTTCTAAGTAAGATCATAGTCACAGATACCTGGGGGTTAGGATTTTAACATATCTTCGTGGGGGTTACAATTCACCCCATAACAGACTCCAATTTATTATTTATTTTTTAAAATTTATTCATGAGAGACACAGAGACAGAGAGGCAGAGACACAGGCAGAGGGAGAAGCAGGCTTCATGCAGGGAGCCCGATGTGGGACTCGATCCTGGATCTCCAGGATCAGGCCCTGGGCTGAAGTCAGCGCTAAACCACTAAGTCACCCAGGCTGCCCCAGACTCCAATTTAATTGTTTCCCTTTGGGGAACTAGTTGATCTGCATCATTTAGTCAGTCACCTTTCCACTCCTCTCTGGCCTGCAGTGCTAGAGTCCACTGAGTGGACATGGAAGGCTTCAGTCTTTTACTGGGTTTTCTACTCCATTCCGATGTCTAATGTTATATTCCTGAAGAAATACCTACCCTGTTCCAATTACCCAGGTTTCTACCAGGACTAGACATCTGGTGGAATAGGTCTTCTCATTTTGTTTCTCTTCTTTAACACTATATAGGCTCTTGAGGCCTTTGCTTTTCCATCTAAATTTGAGAAGCATCTTCTCAACTTACACACACACACACACACACACACACACACACACACACACACACAAATTAGGAGTTTGACAGGAGTTGCACTGAGCCTAAGGATCACCTCTCTTCTTTTAGGAAGACTTCTCTCCTCACCAACCCCATTAGGCTCTCTCTGCCCCCCACAGATTCAGTTTCCCTACCCTGTTCTGTGGAGGTGATTGGGCCTGAGCACACCAAACCCCACCCCCGTTCTGCCCCTGTGGTACATTATTTCCTCTAGTTCCCCCTCACACATTTCCTATGTGTGCCTATCCCAGACCTCTCTGTGAAGATCCTGAGGCAGCAGTTCCTCTGCCCCTACTGCTCTCTATAGGGCCCAGAACAGAGTCCTGGGAATCCATAATTCTTGGTATAGGTCCTTCCTCTGAGGCACCACCCTCTACAGCCCATCAGTATACCAGCCAGTGTAACCCTTAAACCTAGGTCCGATCATATCCTTCCTCTGTTCCGGAGCCTCCCATGGTTCCCCAGGTCATCCAAAGAAAAGCCCAGATCCTCACCATGGCTTTTGAGACCCTGTACCACCTGCAAAACCCTACCTCACCTCTACCTAGTGCCTCTCTCACCCTGTCTCTGTTTTCCACACACCCTGGCCTCTTTGTTGTTCTCCAGACACAGCCTTGGCTCAGGGTCTTTGCCTTTGCTATGCTCTCTTTCTAGAACTCTCTTCCCCTAGCTATGTCTCTGGCTTGCTCCTTTACTTCCTCAAATTTCTGCTCAAATAGACATTATCAATGAAGCGTTTTCTCACCATCAATATAAAAGCTACAAAACTGCAGATATCCCTTCCTCATGCTCCCATCCTCCTTTCTCTGCTGCTTTTTCATCTTAACCATAGCTGTTATCGCCATCAAACATACCATATATTCTTTGTTCTGTTAATGTTTGTGTCCCCTCACTCGATTATGACCTCATGATGGCAGAGATTTTGGCCTGTTTTATTCAACAGCACCTAGAACAGTGCATAGGACACAGGCAGTGTTGAGTAATTATTTGTTTTTTTTTTTTAAAGATTTTATTTATTTAAAATTTAAAATTTATTTATTCATGAGGCACACAGAGAGGCATTGACATAGGCAGAGGGAGAAGCAGGGTCCCTGCAGGGAGCCCAATACAGCACTTGATCCCAGGACCCAGGGATCATGCCCTGAGCCAAAGGCAGATGCTCAACCACTGAGCCACCCAGGTGCCCCAGTAATATTTGTTGAATAGCTTAGCTAAGAGGGAGGACACCCTGACCCAGCGTGGACTCTTCCATTCACTTGCAGGGAGACTTGAGGGATCCAGTCATCAATCCAGACCTCAGTTTCCGCTTCTGTAAAATGGGGAGGATGTCTTTGAATCCTGGAGCCTAGTCAGAGTTCCCTTTTGCCACTGCAGTTCCACTCACTTGGAATGCCTGCCTCTATGTAGAGGTTCTCTGTCTTAGGAGACTTCCTATTCCTGACCTGTCCCTTTCTGACTGTCCCTGCCCATACTAACCTACAACCGCTTAATTTTGACCCCTTGCTGGTCTTAAGCTTGGGGCATGAGCTGTCTATGTCCCTGTGGCCAAACTGCTTCCTGTGTCTGCCTGCTTCCCTAGCCCTATGTCCTGAATCTTGTCTTTTTTTCTTGTTCAGCAATGTTTTTTTTTTTTTTTTTTTTGCTCAGCAATGTTATGCTATAATTAGTCTCCCATCCCCCAGCCTGCTCTGGTTCTAGCTGCTGTATCCATGTCTAATGCTTCCCTGATGGCTGGCCACTACCTCACCATCAGAGAACCCCTAAATAAGCTGCTTTCTGCTTCTGCATTTCATTTACTATAACCTGTGTTGGGGCAACTTTCTCCTCTTTCTCGTGGTTGGGATTTTTCAGGGCATGGGCCTTATCCTCAAGGCCTCCACCTGTGACCAGGTGACCCCAAGATGCTCCTCCAGAAACAGGCTCTTTTAAGATATCAGTAAATTTTTCTCTTCTTAAAAAAAAAAAATTAACTGTAAGATCTTGCCTTTTCTTAAAAAAAATTCTATTGTAGTAAAATGAACCTAAAATAAGTTCAGGATTTTAACCATACAATTTGACATTAAGCACATTTACGTTGTTTTGCAACCACCATCCATCCCTAGAACTATTTTATCATTTCATACTGAAACTCTATATCCATTAAACACTAACTCCCTCCCCTGGCTCTGGTAACCACCATTCCACTTTTAGTCTCTATGAATTTAACTATACTTAGGTACCTCATATAAGTGGAATCATACAATATTTGTCCTTTATTTTTATTTTTTTTTAATTTTTATTTACTTATGATAGTCACACACACAGAGAGAGAGAGAGGCAGAGACACAGGCAGAGGGAGAAGCAGGCTCCATGCACCAGGAGCCCGACGTGGGATTCGGTCCCGGGTCTCCAGGATCGCGCCGTGGGCCAAAGGCAGGCGCCAAACCGCTGCGCCACCCAGGGATCCCCTATTTGTCCTTTTTTTAAAACAGATTTGAGAGAGTGCGTGTGCAGGAGAGCACAAGGTGAGGAGGGAGCAGAGGCAGTGGGAGAAGCTGAGCAGGGAGCCCCACCTGGGACTGGGTTCCAGGACTCCAGGGTCACGACCTGAGCTGAAGGCATGCTTAACCAACTGAGCCACCCAGGCACCCCAATATTTATCCTTTTTGCTCTGGTTTACTTCACTCAGCATAATATTTTCAAGTTCATTGATATTGCAGCAGGTGTCAGAGTTCCCTTCTTTTTTTTATTTTTTATTTTGACAGGTGAATAATAGCCCGTGGCATGCATTTGCCACATCTTGTTTATCCATTCATCCATGATACACATTTGCTTTGTTTCCACCTTTCGGCTTTTGTGAATGACATAGTTAGGAACACTGGTGTGCTCTCATTTTCTTTTCCATGAAGGTTGGCCCGTGACTGAGTCTTGCAAAGTCTGGGGCCAAACTGGGCCCAAACTGCGCTGTGGGTGAATCCGCTCTTGCGAGCCCCCATACCACATTCCAGGCTCTCCTTTGCATTTCTTGAACGGCTCAAAGGCATCCATATCCGGCTTCACACAAGACAGACCTGAACTCTTCGCTTCCCCTGGCGTTTCTCCGCTTTACACCCCATCTAGGCGTTCTTCTCCCCTCCCTGCGAGGGGACACGTCCGTGTCTGAGTCCCCGGCCTTTCAGACCGAACCGAGCGTTCCAGTCTCCAACCACTCACTTCTTTGCCCCAAAGCTCTGCACTTGGGATAAAAACCCTTTGCTGTCTTCTCAGCCCCATGTCCTACCCAGCCCGGGGGTCTCTCCTTCAGGGCTCAGTTTCCAAGTCACCTCTCTAGGGCGGCCCACCTGCCACGCTAGCTCTATCAGAGCACCTGCCTCTCCCCTCTCTGTCCTTCCGCTCCACTTGGGACTTCAAGCTTCTGGGTGAGTTCTCTAACGCCCTTCCCACGAGATAGGAGCGCCGAGGCGAGGCGGAAGGCAGGCCCGCAGGTCCCCCCGGCCGGCCGGGAAAGGAAAACCAGCTCGCGCCGGCTTCGCAGCTACGTGCAGGAAAACTATCACTCCCAGAAACCCTTTCTCCGGGGGCTGGAGAGTCGCCCTCCACGCCCTTCCTGCGGAGGAGACTGAGCATGCGCAACGGCCACTGCGGTTAGCCCGCAAGGCTGCGCGGGCGGGGACTGCATCTCCCAGGAGGCCCTGCGTGCAATTTTCATCGCCGCGTGACGAGCGGCTTCCGGCGCGGAGGGGCGGGGCGCGCGGCTGAGGCAGCAGCTGGGGCAGCCAGGGGAGCGGCCGGGTGGCCGGCGGGCGCCAGCCGCCATGGAGGCCGTGCCCCGCATGCCCATGATCTGGCTGGACCTGAAGGAGGCCGGAGACTTCCTCTTCCAGCCGGCCGTGAAGAAAGTAAGTCCTTTCCCCCCACCTCTCCCGCGTAGCGCCGTCTGCCAGCGCGTGACGCCCCCTGCGCGTCCATCATCTCCCTAGGCCCTGGTCGCAGGGTCGGGTGAGGCCGGGAGGGGCCTCCGCTGGATTTCCTCAGCCCGCGCCCCCTCCCCCCCCCCCCCGCAGACATTCCTGTCCCCTCCTCGCCCGCTCGGGGCTAGCACCCGCAGTCCGTCGAAACCTGCTTCCCGACTTCTGCTCCGGGCCATCCACGGTTCCCACCGAGGCACCGCACTTCCTCCGTGTGACGCTCGGGACCTGGTTCTGCCCCGCCCCTCCTCCACGCCGGGACCGCCTCGCGGGGAGAGGTGGGCGGCCCTGGCCGTCTGCTCTGAACTGTGCCCTGCGTGCGCTGTCTGTCGTTCCAGGACCGGCCTGGGACGAGCGCCGGGGATGGCTCAGCATGTGTGTGTGTCAAGGCGGGAGCCAGAGGAGTGCCTGACCTCTGCGATTGGGGTCTCTCTGACACTTGGTGCAGTTCTCTCTGGACCCTTAAGAAGAACCATATTCGGGAGTCCCCTTAGACCAAAAGATACAATTCCTTGTCATTTTTTTGGGAGAGTTACTGCTTTTCTTAATTGCCAGGAGGGGGTAGACAGCGTTGTAGCTCCTGGAGAAACCTTAGCTGTCGTGTTTGGACCTTCAGTTGGACGGAGGAGACCCAGGCAGGTTTGGTGGTGATGGAGGCAGGGGACCTGTGTGGTGAGATCAGGTGGGGCTGGTACAGAGAGGGGGGCCAGGTGTGTTGAATGAGCACCGGGTGCCTTCTGAGACTTCAGCCTTGGGGAGGGCCACCTAAGAGCATTGGGTCAGAGCAGAAGTAAACAGGAACAACCAGGTCGTTACAGGTTGGCATCCTCGTGATTTTAGTAGTTTAGAAAGACAGGAAATTGGATTCATCTAAAACTTAAGAGTTTTGTTACCTCTTCCCCAGACTTTGGCCTTCTAGCCATCTGCTCTTTCAAGTACAGTTAGATGAGTTTTCCTGAAACACAACAAAACTTTGTTTTCTAGTTCATCTCTAACCCATTTAGAGTTCTCCCCGACCAACCACAGCTCTTTCCGTAGTTTTTGAAGGCCCACTGTATGTTTGATCTGTGTTGTTTTTTTTTTTTTTAAGATTTTATTTATTTATTTGAGAGACCGGGTGATCTAGAGAGCACAAGCAGGGGGAGGGGCAGAGTGAGAGGGAGAAGCAGACTACTCCCTGATCAGGGAGCCCAATGAGGGGCTCGATGCCAGGGCCTCGAGATCATGATCCACGTGGAAGGCAGACCCTCAACCGTCTGAGCCACCCAGGCATCCCCTTGATCTATGTATTTCTGTTGTAGGTTCTGTTCACAGTCAGCCTTTTGCTGTTCTCTTAACATTCTCTGTATATTTGCTCTTCTGTGCCTTTGGTTGTGGAATTCCTCCCACCCAGAAGTGCCCTATTCTTTGTCGTGTGGGATGGGCATGGGGCCCTTCTTTAATCTCTTAGGTTGATTCTCTCCATCTTTCAAGGTCCAGTTTAAGTTCTTTCTCTTCCAAAAGTGTTCTCTTAATTCTTTGATTTGGGTTAAACTTCCCCTTCTCTGAATCCTTTTTTCCATTCTTCTCCTGGTGTTAGTATTGTGTGCTATGTTTTAACTCTCCTATTCAATTTTAAGTGACCTGAGAGGCATCTCCCTGCTCCTCGAAGCCTAGCGGGGCCCTCTCTACACAGTTGACATTCAGGAAAATATTGCTCAAATAAGGACATTTGAGAGAGAATTTAGTCATGGTGACCATAAATTTATGGAAATCCAGTGGATAAAATCTCAGCCCAGAAAATCCTAGGAGATATTTTTGTTTAAACTTAGCCTTTGATATTCTGGTCACTCTTATCTAACCAACAAGGTTTTATGTGAGTAATGACTTCCCTGGAAGCCTTCCTGAGTCTCCATGAAAGTAGTTGGTCACTAGCTGTTTAGCCTGAGGTGGTATTAAATGCTGAAGAAACTATTCATTTCCTAGACTTCAGCTCTTTTTCTGTGTTTCCTCCTGGGGATTGGGGAAGATACCGCTGTGGTTGTGACATGTATTTGCATGAACCCATTGAAAAGGACTAACAACCCGTGGGTAGGCTGGGCTTGCAAATGGCCAACTCCCTCAGGGTACCCTGGAGCTCTTCCTACAGGAGACTGCAGAAGCCACTGCAACCTGGGAACTCTTCCTGACCTGGACTCTTCCCCAGCCCTTGAGCCCTTGCTCTGCCCTTGTCCTCTTCTATCCTTTCTCTTAACCATGGGAACCTTCACCAATGATTTGGAGCTGAGAGAATTTAGGTTAGGATACTGGGGTAAAAATTGATTCTGTTGAGGTCACCCTGTTGAACACATCTGTATTGGTAATACAGATGAATAACAGACAATTCTGTTTTTCTTTCATGGAGTTCAGTTTAGTAGAGGAAACTTAAAAACTAAATGGCTATATCAGTGGAAGAATATGTGTAGGGTACAGAAGTACCAGCCTAAGGACGGGCCATCAGAGAAGCCTTGGTGGGATGAATAGCCTTTGCAGGATGAATTGAAGTTTTCCAGATAGCTGAAAGGGTTTGTTTCATTGTAAGGCCTGGGCTGTTGAAAGACCTTTAATAATGATTAGTATTGTTTTTTGCTGCTGATGGACATGCCTTCAATTATGAAATAATGTAAAATAAGAGCCAGGAGAACAAGCTGGTTTTGAACTGCAGCGCCATGTTTTGGGTTGAATAACGCTGCCCATGTAATTTTTTAGTGTAAAAATGCTGCTGTTCCTGCACTTCCTTTTTTTTTTTTTTTTTAAAGATTTTATTTATTTATTAATGAGAGACACAGAGGGAGAAGCAGGCTGCACGCAGGGAACCCGACATGGGACTCGATCTTGGGACCCCAGGATCACGCCCCAAGCTGAAGGCAGGTGCTCAACTGCTAAGCCACCGTCATCCCGTCCCTGCACTTTCTTACCTGAGCCCAGATTGCTGACTCACTGGAAACTGATGAAGGCTGATTTGTACTTTTCATCATTGAGTGATTTGGTGACAAGTGTTGGTATTTGAAGTTGTTTTCTCTTCTGGTGCCAAACACCTTCCCCTAATCAACTGCACTGGAGCATAAATCTGACTTGGACTTAGGTGTTAACATCATCTCTGACTCATTCTTTGAGCAAGTGTTTATTGAGTGACTGTATGTGCCAACCCTGAGAATTCAGGGCTCTGTGTAATGATAAAAATTGTTGCTTTCAGGGAGCTTATCTTTTAATGATCCACATGGTAACCCATCCTCAAGGGAAGATGTATCATGTGGTAGCCACCCTGCCATCTGAGTGACTCCTTGGCCTTTCCCCCACTCCCACTCCGGCTGGATTGATCTCTAAATCTTAGTTTTCCACCAGGTTCCTCCAAAGAAACTGCCTGCTATTCAAGGCCTGCCACCACTTGGCTTCAGCCTGCCTCTTTCTAATTCATTCCCTCAGGCCTCTCCTCTAGGAACTGTCAGCCTCTTTTCCTTCCACATCTGATCATTGCTCTTGCTCTGGTCCTTACTGGAATTCCTTTCCTCTAGTTCATTACTCTGGTTGAACCATACCTCCCCAGCTGCCTGGCTATTGAACAACACTCCAGATTCAGACAGGTCTTAGCACTCAGCTTGTCTGTACCACAGAGTGCACACTCTTCTTACCTCTTGTTACTGTTCCTCTTATTCACATGTAGGGAGAGTCTGGTTTTTAGGTTTGTGGAATTCCCCCCCCTTCCATGTTTCTCATAGGATAGCTGCTGACTCCTTTGAATCACTTGCAACATACACAGAAAAGATTATGAGACAACTGGAGGCCTAAAAGGGGACCTGCCTCCTCAGCAGTGAGGAGCAAGGGACATTGCCAGTTACCTCTGGTGTTGGGTGACCTGTCTTTTCTCTTATCACAGATTTAGAGTTACCAAACCTGTCTGCCTACTTATGTTTTACACAGGATGACTTTAGGAACAAATGACGTGCATTGTCTAGTTCATTCTTCTCTGACTTTAGTCTTATACACCAAAAACCTGTATCCATTTCACTTCAGATTCTTCCCTTTACTCGGGAAGTAATAAATATCTGTATGTGGAGAATGCTTTACAAGTGTTGGTTGAATGACCTAGTCTAGTTCTAGCACCCACTGGGAGATGTAACATGAGTTGTCCTTGCTGATATTGTTTAGATGAGATGTGGAATAGGGATTAGGCTAGGCAGGGACGAAGGTCTGTTCTCTTCCTCTGTGCGGTAGGGCTGTAATTTGGTTTTAGGCTTGTTGACATCAAGGGTGGGACTTGATCCCGGGACTCTGGGATCACACCCTGAGCCAAAGTCAGATGCTCAACCACTGAGCCACTCAGGCGTCCTAATAAAATTAATCTCATTTGAAATTCAGTAGCAAAGTATATATTGTATTTATTAACAGTCCTATATGTGGGACTTAGTTTTATGTGTGTTTCCATGGACCTGCCTAAGGAATGGGCTTCAGAGTGTCTGTGAACTAAAATTGTGTGCACATTTTTGGGTTTGTGCATAGTTGAATATTTCTAGGGAGATTTCTTTTATGGCTTTTGTAGTCTCAAAGGACTCAGAAAAAGGCTAAGAACTATGGATATAGGGGAAAGTGTTTTTCAGGTACCGTTTAATTCTTCAGCAACTCTTAAATATTTGTTTTCCACATTTCCAATGTACAGAAAAGTTGAAAGAATAATAAATTTAATAAATAATAATAAAATTCTCTCTACCTAGTTTTGATAATTATATTTCACCATATTTGTGTGTTCTCTGTGTCTTTATGTATGTGCTTACGTGCATGTGTATGTATCTTGTGAACCTTTGAAAGTAAGTTGTACACATCTCAGCACATCATAAGACTAAGGACATTCTCCTGTGTAACCATATTATCACACATAAGAAAATCCACAAAAATTTTCTGTTATATGTTAAAACTTCACCTATTGTCCCCAAAGCATTTTTTAAAGATTTTTTTTTTCATTTTTTTAAAGATTTTAAGTCATCTCTACACCCAATGTGGGGCTCAGACTTATAACTCTGAGATCAAGAGTCACATGTTCTACTCACAGCCAGTCAGGTGCCCCTCCCCCCAGTTTCTTTCCCCCCAAAGATTGTATTTGTTTATTCATGAGAGACAGAAAGAGAGAGGCAGAGACATAGGCAGAGGGAGAAGCAGGCTCCACACAGGGAGCCCGATGTGGGACTAGATCCCGGGACTCCAGGATCATGCCCTGACCTGAAGGCAGGCACCCAACCCCTGAGCCAGTCAGGCATCCCCCCCCCCCAAATATTTTTTATGACTTTTTCTTCCCCAAATTTGGATTCAGTCAAGGTTCTCATATTGAATTTAGTTCTCTTTCTTTAATATTTTAAAATCTAAACTGGTCTCCTGTTTACCCCACCACCACCATGACATTGATTTTTTTCAGAGACTGGGTTAACTGTTGAGCAGAAGTCCCAGCTTTTGAATATTCTTGAGTGTCTCCTTTTAGTATTTTCAGTTTGTTCACCCATCCTCTGAATTTCATGTAAGTGCCACCATTTGCAGAGCATCTGACACATCTGATAAGGCTCCTACCATTCCCAATGCACTCATTGTTTGGTGCGGGTTAGAGGGGTGTCACTGGCATGACCCTGCCACGGTGCCAGGCACAGTCTGGTGAAGGCATGTTTAGAATGTAGAGAGAGCAGCAGTTAAAGTTTAAGGGATTGACATTTCAGCTGAGTCTTTTTTATTTTTATTTTTTAAGATTTTATGTATTTATTCATGAGAGACACAGAGAGAAGCAGAGACATAGGCAGAGGGAGAAGCAGGTTTCCCGTAGGGAACCCAGTGCGGGACTTGATCCTGGGACCCCGGGATTAGGCCCTGAGCTGAAGGCTGACACTCCATCGCTGAGCCACCGAGGCGTTCCTCAGCTGAGTTAATATTGGAGAGGGGACAACATGTGGGCAAGCATTGAGACCTGAAAGCAGCAGTTCCACAGGACTGTTGGCTGGGCGTCCTCAGGAGTCACTTGAAGACAGTCCTTGAAGGCAATTGGGAGCTGGTTGTGAAGGGCCAGGAACTCTGTGCATAGGAGAGATTGGAGGCTTTGGAGAGCCATTGTTGCACATCCTTTTCAGATTATAATTTTTCTCTTTAGATTGCAACTCATTTCTCATCATCTCACTAACCTGAGAAAAGTTTGGGTTTATTTTTTCCCCCGGTGTGTGTGTGTGTTTCAGAAGGCTTTGAAGTTTGGAGTGACAGTGAAGTTTGCTAGAAAGAGAACTCTGGCCTCTAGGTAAGGAGCACATTTAAAGGGGTGACAACAGGATAGAGAAGAGAGCTCATGGACACACGGGATTTGCAGGAGGTAAAACCAGCAGAAGAGGTGGGCATCACTGCCCTTTGTGTTTGTGGAATGGGTATATCTGGCTCCCCCTAGATTGCTAAGTCAGCCAATAGGAACCATAACAGGGGTGGTTCCAGCTGCCTTAGTCTGTTGACCTTAGGTGAACAAGGGGTCTTTTGATGCAGGCTGTGCCTCCAGACTGATGAGTTTGCTCATTTTTGAGAGAGTCTGCTCCTGAGGTGGTGAGTGCTATTGTGGCCAGGCATGCCAGTCCCCTATCTGATGTGGGCACTGACTTTTCCTTCTATCTTGATCATTCCCAACACACACCTGCAGGCCTTTCTTCAAGGTGAGGAAGATGTAAATTATTTATTCTGTGTTGCCATATCCTAGCCTGGAGAGCTGGCAAAGAAGGCTTTGCGCTCCCACTCTTGTTTGGTATCTCTTGCCTATGTTTGTGGTTGGATTAGGATTATGGTTGTAATCCCAGAACACAGCAAGGTCTAGTCCTTGAGGGAGGCTTGAATTTGTGGCCTATTGGGATGTTCAGTAGGATCCCTTTTCAGCCAGCTAAGTTCCCCTGCTTCCTGAGCTGCCAGAGTCCTGGACTTCACAGAGAGGGCTGCAGCATGATGAAGACCAGAGTGTTCACCTAAAGTCGCCCAGCATTATTTTCTATTTTGCTCAAAGGTAGAGGCATCTTAGCGCTGCTCCATCTTTGAGGTAGAGTTCATAGTGGTCCGGGAGATAGGCTCGTGATTGTGGATCTAGACTGGTGACTGCCAAGGACTCAGGGCAGGAGTGAGAGCAGGGGAGTGTTCTGTATTCATGGTTTAAGTTGTTTTCTCTTTCTCTTTTTCTTTCTAGTTTGTCCTAAAAAATTATGGAGAGAACCCAGAAGCCTACAATGAGGAACTGAAGAAGCTGGAGTTGCTCAGACAGGTAGGAGGATAGTATTTTTATGCACTTGTAAACAGGACTGCTTGGTAGGGAGGTAAAGAAACCACCTGAAACTGTTGTTAATTTAATGTTTTTTCCTCTTTAAGAGCAGCAAAGTTAATGGTAAAAAAATTTGAAAATGCTTTAAAAAAAAAAGGACAGTTTTTTAAAAATCCTTCTCACATTTTTGTATATATTTTATAATTTTTATATAATCAGTCCTTGAACAACAGGGATTTGAACTGTGTGGGTTCGCTTATATGCAGGTTTTGTGTAGTACAGGCTTTGCATGTATTTTCTTTATGATTTCTTTAATATTTCCTTTTCTCTAGCTTACTTTATTATAAGAATACAATATATAATGTATATAACATACAAAATGTGTGTTAATTGACTGTTTCCAGTGGGGCTCTGGTCAACAGTAGGCTATTAGTAGTTAAGTTTTTGGGAAGTCAAAAATTATAGTAGATTTTTGACATGGGGGTCAGCACCCTTTAACCCACACTGTTCAAGTATCAGCTGTGCATTCTATATAAAAACACAATAGGATCCTACACTGCCTGTAGAGCTTATGTATTCTGCGCTTTATTTATTTATTTTTTATTTATTTATAGATTTTATTTATTCATGAGAGACACAGACAGAGAGGTAGAGATACAGGCAGAGGGAGAAGCAGGCTCCATGCAGGGAGCCGGATGTGGAACTCGATCCTGGGACTCCAGGATCACGCCCTAGGCCAAAGGCAGGCGCTCAACTGCTGAGCCACCCAGTCGTCCCATGTGTTTTCATATAATGCATTGTAGATTTGTTTCTTTATCAATGAACATAGAACAGTAGTATTTTTCATGTCTTGTGATCATTACATTGCACTGTGATTTAATCCATCTGGTCTCATTGAACATTAGGTTATTTCAGTTTTCACCATTGTAAGTATAATTCATGTCTGTGCATACTTGGGCATTGACGGGATTGTTTCTGTAGGAATTAGTGGGTGAACAGGATGCATTTGCTTTCGTTTCCACCTCCAGCATGGTACATGCTTATTCCTGCTGTTACTTTTCAGTTCTGGCAATCTGGTAGGTGAAAAGGGTATTTAATTTTAATTTTCAGTTATTTGGCTAATAGTAAGGTTTCACAATTGTGGTTTTTTTTTTTTAAAATTTATTTATGATAGTCACAGAGAGAGAGAGAGAGAGAGAGAGAGAGGCAGAAACATAGGCAGAGGGAGAAGCAGGCTCCATGCACCGGGAGCCTGACGTGGGATTTGGTCCCGGGTCTCCAGGATCGCGCCCTGGGCCAAAGGCAGGCGCCAAACTGCTGCGCCACCCAGGGATCCCGGTTTCACAATTGTTAATGTGTTTGTTACATATCTTCTTTTAGGGCTTGCCAATATCTTTTGTCCATTTTTCTATTAGAGTCATATAGGCATACCTTGTATTGCGCTTTGCTTTATTGCACTTCACAGATACTGTGTGTGTGCGTTCTTGAAGATTTTTTTAAGTAATCTCTGCACCCACTGTGGGGCTTGAACCCACAACGTCAAGATCAAGAGTCACATGCTCCACCAACTGATCCAGTCAGGAGCCTCTAGATATACTGTGTTTTTACAGATTGAAGGATTGGGCTGTCTTGCATGGAGCAAATCTGTTGGTGTGTTTTCCCGATAGTACTTGTTCACTTTGTGTCTCTGTGTCACATTTTGGTAATTCTCACAATATTACAAACTTTTTCATTATTGTATTTGTGAGGGTGATATGTGATCAGTGATTTTTGAGGTTACTGTTGCAATTGTTTTGGGGCACTGCAGACCCCGTATAAGACCGAGAGCTTGGGGATCCCTGGGTGGCTCAGCGGTTTGGCGCCTGCCTTTGGCCCAGGGCGCGGTCCCGGAGTCCCGGCATCAAGTCCTGCGTGGGGCTCCTGGCATGGAGCCTGCTTCTCCCTCTGCCTGTGTCTCTGCCTCTCTCTCTCTCTCTCTCTCTATCATAAATAAATAAATCTTAAAAAAAAGAAAAGAAAAGACCAAGAGCTTGGGGCAGCCTGGGTGGCTCAGCGGTTTAGCGCCGCCTTCGGCCCAGGGCGTGATCCTGGAGACCCGGGATTGAGTCCCACATCGGACTCCCTGCATGGAGCCTGCTTCTCCCTCTGCCTGTGTCTCTGCCTCTCTCTCTCTCTCTCTGTGTCTCTCATTAATAAATAAATAAAATCTTAAAAAAAAAAAAAAAGACCAAGAGCTTAATGGGTAAATGTTCGGTGTGTTCTGACTGCTCAATCAATCCACTGTTCCCTTTTCTCTCTCCTTGGGTTTCCCTGTTTCCTGAGACACAACAGTATTGATATTAGGGCAATCAATAACCTCGCAACAGCCTCTAAGTGTTTCAGTGAAAGGAAGAGTCTCACATTCTCATCTTAAATCAGAAGCTAGGGACGCCTGGGTGGCTCAGTGGATGAGTGTCTGCCTTTTGCCCAGGGCGTGATCCTGGCGTCCTGAGGTTGAGTCCCACATCGGGCTCCCTGCATGGAGCCTGCTTTTCCCTCTGCCTGTGTCTCTGCCTCTCTCTTTCTCTCTGTCTCTCATGAATAAATAAAATCTTAAAAAAAAATAAATCAGAAGCTGGAAATGATTAAGTTTAGTGAGGAAGACAGGTTGAAAGCCAAGGTAGGCTGAAAGGTAGGCCGCTTGCACCAGTTAGTCAGGTTGTGAATGCAAAGGAGAAGTTTTGTTTTTTTTTTTTTTTTTTAAATTTTATTTATTCATTAGAGAGGCAGAGACACAGGCCGAGGGAGAAGCAGGCTCCATGCAGGGAGCCCGACGTGGGACTTGATCCCGGGCCTCCAGGATCACGCTCTGGGCCGAAGGTGACGCTAAACTGCTGAGCCACCCAGGCTGCTCTGCAAAGGAAAAGTTCTTGAAGGAAATTAAAAGTGTTACTCCAGTGAGCACATGAATGATAATAAAACCACATCAGCAATGGCTGATGAGGAGAAAGTTTGAGTGGTGTGCATAGAAGATCAAAGCAGCTACAACAGTCCCTTAAGCCAAAACCTAGTCCAGAGCAAGGCCCTTACTCTCTTCAATTATATGAAGGCCCAGAGAGGTTGAGGAAGCTGCAAAAGGAAAATTTCAAGCTAGCAGAAGTTGGGTTATGTTTTTTTTTTTTTTTTTTTTTAAGATTTTACTTATTTATTCATGAGACAGAGAGAGAGAGAGAGAGAGAGAGGCAGGGACACAGGCCAAGGGAGAAGCAGGCTCTATGCAGGGAGCCCAACGTGGGACTCAATCCCGGGTTTCCAGGATCAGGCCCTGGGCCAAAGGCGGTGCTAAACCGCTGAGCCACCCAGGCTGCCCAGGTTACGAGGTTTAAGAAGAGAAGCCATCTTCGTAACATAAAAGTACAAGGTGAAGCACCAAGTGCTGATGGAGAGATCCGGAAGATAATTCATGAAAGTGGCTACACTAAACAACAGATTTTCAGTGGAGACAAAACAGCCTTCTGTTGGAAGAAGATGCCATCTAGAACTTTCACAGCTAGAGAGGATAAGTCAATGCCTGGCTTCAAAGCTTCAAAGGATAGGCTGACTCTCTTGTTGGGGGCTAGTGCAGCTTGTGACTGTAAGTTATAGCCAGTACTCATTTATCATTCTGAAAATCTGAGATCCCTGAAGAATTCTACTGAATCTACTTTGCCCATGCTCTAGACATGGAACAACAAAGTCTAGATGGCAGTACATCTATTTACAATGTAGTTTACCAAATTTTTTAAGGCCCCTTTTAAGATCTCAGAAAAAAAAAGATTCCTTTCAGAATATTACTGCTCATTGACAATGCACATGGTCACCCAAGAGCACTGATGGAAACTTACGAGGGCTTTTTATTTTGTTTCGTTTTTACCCCCGGGGTTCCTCAGTAAAGTTTTCTTCATGTAGGTTTTACACATAACTTGTTGAGTTTATTTCCGCACTTTTTTTTTGATTGTTGTTGCTATTATTGAATATTCTTCCCCCCTTCTTCTTTTATATTTTCCACTTCTTACAGTAGAGAAAAGCAACTGAGCAATATATTTTGTTTTTTGTTGTTTATTTTTAATTAATCTCTACATCCACCATGGGGCTTCAGCTCATAACTCTGAGATCAAGAGTTGCATGCTTATCCGACTAACCCAGTCAGGCACCCTGAGCAATTTATTTTAATTGTTTTCTTTCTAATAGTATTTGAGTTCACTTTCTTTCTATTTTTATTTTTATTTTTATTATTTTTTTAAAATTTATTTATGATAGTCACACAGAGAGATAGAGAGAGGCAGAGACACAGGCAGAGGGAGAAGCAGGCCCCATGCACCGGGAGCCGGACGTGGGACTCGATCCCGGGTCTCCAGGATCGCACCCTGGGCCAAAGGCAGGCGCCAAACCGCTGCGCCACTCAGGGATCCCTTGAGTTCACTTTCTTGGGTTTTCCAAGTACTTGAGTCATAGCATAAACGCATAATGATTTTACTTTCTTTCTAGTGGTTGTACTCCTTATTTTCTTGGAATTAGGCATTTCCAGAGCATTGCTAATAATTGTGAAAATGACTTGTTTCTGGTGTTGAGGTATCAGCTTTGAGCACAGTGCTGGCTGCTGTACCCCGTGTCTGAGGGCTTGTTTCTGCATTTGGGGGTGCAGTGGCCCATAGCAGTGGCTCTTAGCAGCTCATGTCTGTCTCATAGGGGCAGGGGTGTCTGCACATTTGCTCATTTGGTGTTCTGATTATTAACAGATCATAAAAACTATAAAAAGCTTTGAAAATAAGAGAAATATAAAGAACAAGACAGCCATTCCCACAGGCAGTCATTGTGATTTTACACATTTCATTTTTATTTAAAAAGCGAGAAGTTAAAATAACATTGCCAAAACACTATAGACTAAATTATTTTAATTGTTACAGTATTTGCTTAGATTTTATTGTTACTAACCTTTCTTAACCCTTGCTCCTTAGCAATAAACAATGACCAATAACCAAATGGTGTTTCTGTAATTAATATGAAGAAAGCATTTTTCCCAGTTTTTGAATAAGAATGACATAAAACTGAATAATTTCAGCTCAGCTCTTGCTGGGGGCAAAGCTTGATCACCCAATAGAGAACTAAGAGGAGCTCTTTATCTGTCCTATTTATATACTGGACTTCCAGTCACGCTTTTTATTTATTCCATTAGCAAACATTTGTTGAACGTTTTCTTAATTTCAGGTACTGTCTAGGTACTGTAGATCAACAGTGAAGAAAGCAAAGTTCTTGTGGCATTATGTGACATTCTTTTTTTTTTTTTTTAAAGATTTTATTTATTTATTCATGAGAGACAGAGAGAGGTGCAGAGACACAGACAGAGGGAGAATCAGGCTTCATGCAGGGAGCCTGACGTGGGATTCAATTCCGGGTCTCCGGGATCACACCCTGGGCCAGAGGCAGCACTAAACCACTGAGCCACCCGGGCTGCCTGTTATGTGACATTCTAAATAAGATTCTTTGAGCACAATGGCACTGGTGTGGCACCACTGGCAGTGGGCTAAGCTTCCAGTGGCAGGGAAGAGGACAGAGGAGCCAAATTCTGAGGGTTAGGGGGAAAAAAAAAGGATGCCCAGTGAACAAGAGGCTTCATGAGGGATCCAGGAAGCGTGATGCTGGAGTGGTGGTTTCATTAGGCAGTCTTGGGTAAGGCCTTCATGCTTCCATAGGACTTATTAAATGCCTCCCTCAGCCTCCTGTGGTGTGGTCCCAACCATCCATATGGTGGTTCATCGGAGACACAGTTATGGAGCAACAAGTATGGGAACCAGATCTAGAAGATTTTTTTTTTTAAAGGTTTTATTTATTCATTCATGAAAGACACAGAGAAAGAGGCAGAGGGAGAAGTAGGCTCCATGCAGGGAGCCCGATGTGGGACTTGATCCCGGGACTCTGGGATCACGCCCTGAGCCAAAGACAGACAATCCACCGCTAAGCCACTCAGGCTTCCCCAGATCTAGATTTGATGTAGGTGCAATTCTCAAGCAAGAAGTTGTTCTCCTGCCTACAGCATTGTGGAAACAGTGGTATCAAGGCCAAGTGCCAGTTTGCTTATTTTATTTTTGAAAAATTTACTCAAGAGTTTCAACAGTGAAAGGCTGCAATTAAGGAAGCTGCACATGAGTCCCCTTGCAGATCTTTTTTTTTTTTTTTTTAAGATGTGTTTATTTATTAGCAGGGAGTGAGGCAGAGGGAGAGAGAAAGCATGCGCACATTGGGGGGCAGGGGCAAAGGGAGCTTGAGATGGGGGAAGGACGGGGGAATCTCAAGCTGCCTCTGCACTGAGCATGGAGCCTCATGCAGGGCTCAATCCTATAACCCCGAGATCATGATCTGAGCTGAAACGAAGAATCCAATGCCTAACCAACTGAGCCACACAGGTGCCCCCTGGAAATGGAAGCTGGATACATCTTGGGGAGCTGTAGGCTCTTCTCACAATCTGGCCTGTTTCCTCATCGGTAAAGCAGAGGCTGGAAGAGTTGTCTCTAAGAACACCTTCCAGGTGCAACTCTGAGGTAAATTCTTGATTTATAGAGCATAAAGCTGGCAGGCATGGTGAGGGGCTTGCTGGGAATGGTAGGAGTGGCATGGTCTCAGAGCTTCCTTACCGACCCTCCTGCTCGCTTCAGCTTCTCCACGTGCAGGTATTGGAGAACAGGGCAGGTGGGACTGGACGAGGGGAGTTCCTGGCTGGATTAAAAGTGCCAGTGGAGGGGTGCCTGGGTGGCTCAGTGGTTGAGCATCTGCCTTTGACTCAGGGCCTGATCCCAGTGTCCTGGAATAGAGTTCCTCATCAGGCTCCCCACAGGGAGCCTGCTCCTTTTCCTGTGTCTCTGCCTTTTTCTCATATCTCTCATGAATGAATGAATGAATAAAATCTTAAAAAAAAAAAAAGTGCCAGTGGAGTTGTGTGGCTTAGAGAGAGGGTTGCTTTCATTGTTTCCCAAAGATGATTTTAGGAAGTACAAAGACAAATCTTTTGTTTTAATCTTTTTGTATAGGCTTTAGTATTAAAAAAAAAAAAGTAACTATAACATCAACCCTGTTGCAAAGAGGTGACTTCTTAGGATGTGGCTCCACTTTGAAAAATGGCTCAGCTTAAAGGAAAATGTTAACTCTAGGTGGTATCTGATTATGGCAGAGAAAGATGGGGAGGGGGTAGTGACTCTGATTCCAGAAGTCCTGGTTTGAGGGACAAGTCACACCTTAGCAGTATACGTGTCTGTGGGCCTCATCTTTGCTCTGGGCCCTCTGGAGGCTGCTTCCTGAGGGAGCTTACATTCCTGTTCAGAGAGGAGACAGGCCCTAGGGAATGCTGTTGAGTGCAACTGGTGCTGGCTAGTCCTGCCCTGTTCTTCTGAGAGCATCCCTGGCAGGGCCTTGGAGCCCAGCTCTGGAGGGTGGTATCCTCCAAGAAGGGTTTCTTCTAGCCAGTGCTGGCCAGCTCTCTGCTGGGCCCCCTGGCTGCTAAAGTCTTCTGGGAGTGTGTGTGGGGGGATACTCTGGTTCTCTCCAGCAGGTGGGGGAGAGTGTTCACAGTGCTGCTAGCCTGTCCCTTTGTTTTGTGCTTCTTGGAGAGTAGGTTGTCTGCTTTTCTGTTTGTTTGAGCACGGGGTTCATCTGCTTTGATTTATTTCCCCAAAATGGGAAGAGCTTTATTGTTTTTAATAAAAAGTGAAAGTGGGGGCAGCCCAGGTGGCTCAGCGGTTTAGCGCTGCCTTCAGCCCAGGGCGTGATCATGGAGACCCGGGATCAAGTCTCGCGTCAGGCTCCCTGCATGGAGCCTGCTTCTCCCTCTGCCTGTGTCTCTGCCTGTGTGTGTGTGTGTGTGTGTGTGTGTGTGTGTCTCATGAATAAATAAATAAAATATTTAAATTAATTAAAATATTTTTTTAAAAAATTTTTAAAAATCCTTTAAAAAAGTGGGGGAGGATCAAGGGGGATGGGGTACTACTGAGTGTTGGGAGCACGTGATGTAATGAGCACTGGGTGTTATATGCAACTGATGAATCGCTGAACTCTACCTCTGAAACTAATAATATACTGTATGTTAATTGGATTTAAATGATAAAATAAGTGCTCGCTTCGGCAGCACATATACTAAATGATAAAATAGGAAAAAGGTGAAAGTGTTTAATATGAAGAATAAGCAATACAAAGAAATATATGTCTCTACATGTGTATATAGAATAGGATAAGTTACTTAAACCCTGTTACCCAGTGGTAATCACTTAACATTTTGGTGTATACCCTAGAATCTTGTGTATGTACCCAGTTGGCTATCAGTTTCTATACGATTTCACATAAATGAAATCATACTGCTCATCTGTTACCTTTTTTTTTTTTTTTTTGACTCAATAAATATATCATGAACATTTAAACATAGTACTCTCATCTTGGGTCCTTGTGGCTATAGGGTATTTTCTTTTGTGGGTAGTCTTGACATTATTTAAACAGTCCTGTTTAATGGAAATTTTGGTGGCATCCAGTATTTGACCCTGTTAATAATATACTGTGATAAATATCCTTGTATGCTCACCAAGCATTTGCTTTTCTGGGTGTCTTTTACTGTATGGTTTAGATACAGAACTGTGGGTCAGGATCAAGTACATGAACATTTTTAATGCATGTTATAAAACTGCCTTCGGGAGAAGTGGGACTGACTCAGCCAGCCCTGGCTGGCTGGTGGGGTGGTTGTTGAACAGCTGCAGGCATAGCTGTGGGCTGTCTCTGGATCCCTTGGAGTGTGCAGTTGCCTAGCTCAGATGCAGATTTCTTTCTTGGGGATCTATGGGCAGACAGACCTGCCTGTACTCTACCCCAAGTGATGGCAGGCCTGCTTCTCCCATCCACCCTCCAGAATGCTGTCCGTGTCCCACGGGACTTTGAGGGCTGCAGTGTCCTCCGCAAGTACCTAGGCCAGCTCCACTACCTGCAGAGTCGGGTCCCCATGGGCTCAGGCCAGGAGGCTGCTGTTCCTGTCACTTGGTGAGAGCTGGCAGGCAGGGCTGGGGGGAGCCTGAAGGGTGCCTGGGGCAGCCCAGGGTGTTTGGGTGATGGAGATGTCCCAAGCCCTCCCTTCCCTCCCCTCCCCTCCCTTCTTCCTCGCTGCAGAGGATGGGGAGTGGCTTGGTGTGTGTGGTTGGTCTCCTTAGGTATCCCTCTGACCTCCACTGGGGTGGCTGGTCCCCTCACCTGGCCTCAAGGCCCTAGCTGGCTCCTTTCCTTAAGATGATGTGGGTGGCATGTCTGCAGGACTGAGATCTTCTCTGGCAAGTCTGTGGCCCATGAGGATATCAAGTATGAGCAGGCCTGCATTCTCTACAACCTTGGTGAGCTGCCTCCCACTTTCCCCATGGTCCTATCTCCCAGCCCTGCCAACCCAGGATCTCAGCTCAGCAGGTCACAAAGGCAGTGGGTTCATGGGCAGAGGACCCCTGGGTTCTGACCCCTTCACTGCCTTCCTCATAGCTCTGCCAGCACCTCTTTTATGGGCCAAGGGGAGCCACCATGCTGGGGAGGAGCTCTGCTGGGCTGGCCACCATGTGGTGTTGCTGTGTACTCTGGCCAGGAGTGGTGGCCTCTATTTGACCGGACACTCTGACCCCGCTTATGGCTTTGGGCTGCACCAGTCAGGAGACCAAGGCTGGCCTCAACTAACCCTGTTATCAACCCTGATGACTTAGCCTCATTGTGGCTCAAGGGAGAATCCTGGGGAGCCCAAGTCCTATATAGGCATCCCTGGGGCTTCAAGACTGACCTGTAGGCTGGGTGCTATGTATGGAAGTTCTTCCTTCCTCCACCCCCACATCTGCCTGGTGTAGAGCAAGGCAGAGGGGCTTGGGCTGGACTTGTGAGTTTTTCCTTCTGGGTGTCCTTGGACCAGCTCCCTGATCACGAGTGACAGCACTGCCCCTCCTGCCTTATGCTCAACAAAGGCGTGGGGCAACCTGAGAGCAGCCCCAGGCTAGTTCTGACATTGTGTCCTCTGACTTCCCAGGGGCGCTGCACTCCATGTTGGGGGCCATGGACAAGCGGGTGTCTGAGGAGGTGAGGAGAGGTGGGGCAATGGGCGGGACATAGGACATAACAGGGAGAGGTGCTGAGTGTTCTTCATCTCCAGAGCTCCAGAGTTTACATCCTGTCCCGTGGGAGTGGACCTGGGCAACTCTCTGGCTCTGCCTCTGGCCATCCTCCTCCTCTCCCCTCCCAGGGCATGAAGGTCTCCTGTACTCACTTCCAGTGTGCAGCAGGCGCCTTCGCCTACCTGCGTGAGCACTTCCCTCATGCCTACAGCGTTGACATGAGCCGCCAGATCCTCACTCTCAATGTCAACCTCATGCTGGTGAGGCAGTGCCCTTGTTGGGGCCCAGTTCACTGCAGGGGAGGGGGCAGCTGGCACTGGAGTCTGGACCAGGCCCCGTGCACATAACAGTGGGGCCTTGGCTTTGAATTTTTAAGCCCCAGGTGGATCAGAGTAGGGCAGTGTTTCTTGGAGTAGGAAGGCTAGAGGAGAGAGGACAGGGCAGGGTATCTCTCATTGGTTCCGATGGGGAGGGTAAGATCTCTGGGTGAATGAATGACTGCACCTGCATTTGTCCACCCAGGGCCAGGCTCAGGAGTGCCTTCTGGAGAAGTCAATGTTGGACAACAGGAAGAGCTTTCTGGTGGCCCGCATCAGTGCACAGGTAGGGACAGGGGTAGATGGTGGCATGGCCCCCAAGGGACTGTGAGAATAGGCCTTTAGTTTACTCCTGATCCCCACTCCTGACCCCCTCCTGGTTCCCAGGTGGTGGATTACTACAAGGAAGCATGCCGGGCCTTGGAGAACCCCGACACCGCCTCACTGCTGGGCCGGATCCAGAAGGACTGGAAGAAGCTTGTCCAGATGAAGATCTACTACTTTGCAGCTGTGGCTCATGTGCGAGCACTGTGACCGCTGGGGTGGGGTGGGCTGGGGTGTCCACAGCTTGGGGAATAAGTAGTGGCCTCTCTTCTTTCTTGCCAGCTGCACATGGGAAAGCAAGCTGAGGAGCAGCAGAAGTTCGGTGAGCGGGTAAGTGAGCCGTGGCAGGGAAGGATTCGACTGATTCCAGCCTTTTCACGAGGTGCTAGAGGGGTCCCTTCTCTATAGCATAGAGGAGGCTCTCCTCACCATCCCTCACCCCCACATGCTTGGCCACCCCCTGACTGCAGGCCTGGTGTTTTCTTTTGTGTTGTTCCATCTGCTTTACCCTCATCCCTAGGGGACTGCAGAGCTATAACAGGCTCCCCGCCAGTGGGGACTCCTGGTGGGAGGCGTAGCTGTAAGGTGGAGTGGTCTTTGTGCTCTTGGCTGGGCTGGTGCCTGGCTCCTTCCTCAGCTTCTGGTCTAGTGGGTCACCTCATAGCCAGCCAGGGCTTAATGGGGTGGCATAAGGAGGGAAGGATGGACCAGGCTCTGCTTGTTGCTCCCCACAGGTCGCGTACTTCCAGAGTGCCCTGGACAAGCTCAATGAAGCCATCAAGTTGGCCAAGGTAAAGCTGAAGAAGAGTCTGGTGGGTCTTCAGAGTGAGGGTTGTCCTCACTCTGGCTTTGATTGGTGTTGAGTCCCCTCCCATCTCTGTCCTACAGGGCCAGCCTGACACTGTGCAAGATGCATTGCGCTTTGCAATGGATGTCATTGGGGGCAAGTGAGTCTGTGGGGCTGGGGATGGCCTTGTTTCCTTCCTGTTGGGAAGGGTCTTGGCCCTCTGCATTGTTGGAAGGAAGCCACTACCTGAGAGCAGTGGCCTGATTGCTGGACTTTCCACTTCCCTTTCTGACCCCAGGTACAATTCTGCCAAAAAGGACAATGACTTCATCTACCATGAGGCTGTCCCAGCACTGGACACCCTTCAGCCTGTAAAAGGTCTGGAGCTGAGGGGGGGCTGAGGATTGGGAAGGGGTGAAGATGGGAGTATAGAACAGAGGCATACCCGAGGCTTGTGTGGGCCTGGTTTCTACAGTTGTTACTCTCCCTCCCAGGTGCGCCCTTGGTGAAGCCCTTACCAGTGAACCCCACAGACCCAGCTGTTACGGGCCCTGACATCTTTGCCAAACTGGTACCCATGGCTGCTCATGAAGCCTCATCACTGTACAGGTGGGTGGGAATGGCTAGCTCTGGTCTTAGCACAGATGGGGTTGGGATGTCTCAAGACTCAGGCTTCCAGCAACTGCTTTGTCACTTTGGCAGTGAGGAGAAGGCCAAGCTGCTTCGGGAGATGATGGCCAAGATTGAGGACAAGAATGAGGTCCTGGAGTGAGTTCAGGGCTGGAGGTGGGAGGCGTGGGAGGTACACAGCAGACTTCTGCGGGGTCCCCAGTGCTGCTTGCACAGGGAGAGGAATAGCGAATGTCTTCTTGTACCAGGTTTCCTAGCTCAGCCCTTCTGGCTCATGGTCTTGGGTGCTAGATTTATAGGGGGCAGTCACTTGGCGTGGGAGGGCGATGTTCCCGTGGCCTGTTGTTTTTAGCAGTGCCCTGGGCTGCTACACAGAACACTCTGTGGGGCCAGGCCAGACTCTTTTGGCGGAGGTCAAGAGGCTGATCTGCCTCTGCTAGGACCTCAGACTTAGTTTCAGTGGTGAGGGAGGGAGGAGTTGGGTCGGTGCCCACCTGGTTCTAACCCCCCTGCAGTCAGTTCATGGATTCAATGCAGTTGGACCCTGAGACTGTGGACAACCTTGATGCATACAGCCACATCCCACCCCAGCTTATGGAGAAGTGTGCAGCTCTCAGTGTCCGGCCAGACACCGTCAGGAACCTTGTCCAGTCCATGCAGGGTGAGCAAGGGGGAGAAGCAAGTGAGTGGAGTCCTCTATGGTGGCCTTCTCCATGGACCCTGTTCCTAAGGACAGAGGAGGTGCCAGCACCCGCCCTCATGCCTTTGTAGATCCCTGCACCCTGCATCTGTTCTGCTCGGCAAGTCTGGGGCCACACACAAGCCCTTGACCATGGGGGTGGTTCTGTCTCCCTGGGGAAGGGCGCAAGTTGGGTGCCTGGTGTGCCTGCCTCAGGAGCTGTTCCCCTTTCACAAACACTCTCCAGTGCTGTCAGGTGTGTTCACGGATGTGGAGGCCTCCCTGAAGGACATCCGGGAGCTGCTAGAGGAGGACGAGCTGCTTGAGCAGAAGTTCCAGGAGGCCTTGGGGCAGGCTGGGGCCAGCCTGGCAGGCTCCAAGGCAGAGCTGGCTGAGGTGAGGCGCGACTGGGCTAAGTACATGGAGGTCCATGAGAAGGCCTCATTCACCAATAGCGAGCTGCACCGTGCCATGAATCTGCACGTCGGCAATCTGCGCCTGCTCAGCGGGCCACTGGACCAGGTCCGGGCTGCTCTGCCCACGCCAACCCTCACCCCTGGTGAGCCACCCCCCCCCCCATCCCATGCCCCTGAGAAGGGATGTGGAGCTGTGGCCTCGGGTCTCACCCACCTCTGCTGCACCTAGAGGACAAGGCTGTGCTGCAGAACCTGAAGCGCATCCTGGCCAAGGTGCAGGAGATGCGGGACCAGCGTGTGTCCCTGGAGCAGCAGCTGCGTGAGCTGATCCAGAAGGATGATATCACGGCCTCCCTGGTTACTACGGATCACTCAGAGATGAAGGTGGGGTTGGTGGGCCAGGGACAGTCTCTGACTCTGGGCTCCACACCGAAGTAGTGAAGCCCTGAGTGTCTGCTCTCCACTCCCCCCCCCCCCCCCAGAAGCTGTTTGAGGAGCAGCTGAAGAAGTACGACCAGCTGAGGGTATACCTGGAGCAGAACCTGGCGGCCCAGGACAATGTCCTGAGGGCGCTGACGGAGGCCAACGTGCAGTATGCAGCTGTGCGGCGGGTGCTCAGTGAACTGGACCAAAAGTCAGTGTCTGGCCCTGTGCTCCAGCCCAGACTCCCACCTGGAGCTCAGCCCGGCCACTCACCTCCGCTGGCCCTTCTGCCTGCCAGGTGGAACTCCACACTCCAGACCCTGGTGGCCTCCTACGAAGCCTATGAGGATCTGATGAAGAAGTCGCAGGAGGGCAAGGACTTCTATGCGGACCTGGAGAGCAAGGTGGCTGCTCTCCTGGAACGGGCCCAGTCCACCTGCCAGGCCCGCGAGGCTGCCCGCCAGCAGCTCCTGGACAGGTGGGTGTGGCCTTGGGGCAGCTGCAGCCCAGCCCCAGCTCGGCTAGTGGGGGCCCGGCTCCACTCTCTGCTCCTTCCTGGCTTGTTTGTTCTGTAGGGAGCTGAAGAAGAAGCCACCCCCTCGGCCCACAGCCCCAAAGCCACTGCTGCCCCGGAGGGAGGAGGGCGAGGTGCTGGAGACAGGAGACCTGCCTGAGGAGCTGCGCAGCCTGCCCCCTGAAATGGTGGCTGCTCCCCGGCCACCTGATGCCTACTTGGCTGCTGCTGCCGTCCTCCGTTTTCCTCCTAGCCCCTTCCCCAGCTCTGTGGGCCCAGGACCCCACTATCTTTCAGGCCCCTTACCTCCAGGTGCCTACTCAGGCCCCACCCAGGGCTTGCAGCCCAGGCCCCCCCAGGCCCCAGGCCCCCCTGCTGTGGTCCTGGCCCCTGGTCCTGCTCTCTACCCTGCCTCTGCCTACACTCCAGAGTTGGGCCTTGTGCCCCGGTCGTCCCCACAGCACGGTGTGGTAAGCAGTCCCTATGGGGGGGTAGGACCACCCCCGCCAGTTGCAGGTCTGCCCTCTGCCCCTCCTCCCCAGTTCTCAGGCCCCGAGATGGCCCTGGGGGTTCGGCCAGCCACTACCACTGTGGATAGTGTCCAGGCCCCCATCTCCAGCCACACTGCTCCACGGCCAAACCCCAGCCCCGCTCCACCCCAGCCCTGCTTCCCAGTGCCCCCACCACAGCCGCAGCTGCTGCCCACACCCTACACCTACCCTATGGGGGCCAAGCCGCCTCTCACAGCTCCCCCTGCCCAGCACCACTTTGCTCCTGGGATTCCCCCAGCTTTTCCGGCCCCCAGGGTTGGGCCCCAGCCCCATCCCACAGGAGTGGCATTCACACCCCAGCCCCCCCAGCAGCCCCTTCCGCTCCAGCATCCGAACCTCTTCCCACCCCAGGCTCAGGGGCGGGTGCCCCCACAACCCCCCTACCCTTTTGCTCCTCAGCCTAGTGTCCTGGGACAGCCCACACCGCCTCTGCACACCCCTCTCTACCCAGGCCCCTCTCAGGACCCTCTGCCCCCCCACTCGGGGGCTCTGCCCTTCCCTAGCCCCGGGCCACCTCCGTCTCCCCATCCCACCCTGGCGTATGGTCCTGCCCCGGCCCCTAGACCCCTGGGCCCTCAGGCTACCCCGCTCTCCATTAGAGGTCCTTCACCTGCTGGCCAACCTGCCCCTACCCCCCACCCAGTGCCTTCACCTGCCCCGTCACCAGGGCCCGGCCCAGTGCCACCTCGGGCCCCTGCAGCAGAGCCGCCCCCATGTGTGCGCCGGGGCCCTGCAGCTGCAGACCTGCTATCCTCCAGCCCGGAGAGTCAGCACGGGGGCACACAGCCTCCTGGGGGTGGGCAGCCCCTGCTGCAGCCCACAAAGGTGGATGCGGCCGAGGGCCGCCGGCCACAGGCCCTGCGGCTGATTGAGAGGGACCCCTACGAGCGCCCCGAGAGGCTGCAGCAGTTGCAGCGGGAGCTGGAGGCCTTTCGAGGCCAGCTGGGGGACACTGGGGCACTGGACGCCATGTGGCGGGAGCTGCAGGACGCACAGGAACATGACGCCCGTGGTCGCTCCATCGCTATCGCCCGCTGCTACTCGCTCAAGAACCGGCACCAGGACGTCATGCCCTACGACAGTAACCGTGTGGTGCTGCGCTCGGGCAAGGACGACTACATCAATGCCAGCCGCGTGGAGGGGCTCTCGCCCTACTGCCCGCCCTTGGTGGCCACCCAGGCCCCGCTGCCCGGTACTGCTGCCGACTTCTGGCTCATGGTGCATGAACAGAAGGTGTCCGTCATTGTCATGCTGGTGTCGGAGGCTGAGATGGAGAAGGTGAGGGGGTGGGCAAGGAGGGCAGGGGAGGGGGTGCCCAGGAGGGGGACCCAGAAGAAGAGCAGACCTCACCACCTTGTTTGTCCCTTAGCAAAAGGTGGCACGTTACTTCCCTGCTGAGCGGGGACAGCCCATGGTACACGGTGCCCTGAGTGTGGCACTGAGCAGCGTCCGTGCCACCGAGACCCATGTGGAGCGGGTGCTGAGCCTGCAGTTTCGGGACCAGAGCCTCAAGCGCTCACTTGTGCACCTCCACTTCCCCACCTGGCCTGAGTTGTGCGTCTGCTGCCCCCGGTGTGTGTGGGGGTGGTGGGTAAGGGTATCTGTCTGGCCCTGCTCACGGCCCTCTGGCCTGCACCCTGCAGGGGCCTGCCGGACAGCCCTGGCAACCTGCTGCGCTTCATCCAGGAGGTGCATGCACACTGCCTGCATCAGCGGCCCCTGCACACACCAGTCGTCGTGCACTGCAGGTGGGCCCCAGGCTGGTGGGTGAGGGGGTGTCTGAGGGGGGACCCTGGGCCCAGCTGACACCCGCCTTCCCACCACAGCTCTGGGGTGGGCCGCACGGGAGCCTTTGCACTGCTCTATGCGGCGGTGCAGGAGGTGGAGGCCGGGAACGGGATCCCTGAGCTGCCTCGGCTGGTGCGGCGCATGCGGCAGCAGAGGAAGCACATGCTGCAGGAGAAAGTGAGGGGCGGGCTGGAGGGGTGGGGCTGGGGCTGGGGGCGGGGTGCAGGGGGATACCCTCAACCCTAGGGCAAGGAGGCCCTGTGCTGTTGACCAAACCGAGGGCCCTCTCCAGCTGCACTTGCGGTTCTGCCACGAGGCGGTGGTGAGACACGTGGAGCAGGTCTTGCAGCGCCATGGCATGCCCCCTCCAGGCAGATCGTCAGCTGGCACAAGCGTCAGTCAGAAGGTAGGGAGCCCTTGGGGCTTGTGGGGGGCAAGGGGGCACAGCCACAGCCTGGTGGACTCATGTACACCCATTTCTGTCTTCCCAGAATCACCTTCCTCAGGACTCCCAGGACCTGGTCCTCGGCGGGGATGTGCCCATTAGCTCCATCCAGGCCACCATCGCCAAGCTCAGCATCCGGCCTCCCGGGGGCCTGGATTCCCCGGCTACCAGCCTCCCAGGCCCTGTAGAGCCCCCAGGCTTGCCACCAGCCAGCCTCCCAGAGTCTGCCCAGCTCCCATCCTCCTCCCCACCCCCTCTCCCTTCACCTCTGCCCGAAGCCCCCCAGCCTGAGGAGGAACAGCCAGTACCTGAGGCCCCCAGCGTGGGGCCCCCCTCCTCCTCCTTGGAGCTGTTGGCCTCCCTAACTCCCGAGGCCTTCTCTCTGGACAGCTCCTTGCGAGGGAAGCAGCGCATGAGTAAGCAGAACTTTCTGCAGGCCCATAATGGGCAGGGCCTACGGGCTGCCCGGCCCACTGATGACCCTCTCAGCCTTCTGGATCCGCTCTGGACGCTCAACAAGACCTGAAGAGGCTTTGCCTGCCCGGTCCGGTCCTTACACTACATCATCTCCCCCGCTGGTCTGCCCACCCTAGGAGGGCCTCTCCAGCGGGCCTGGTCTCTTACTCCCATTCCTGCTGCCTTCAGCCCTGCCTGGCCCAGCCCGCACCCCTGTGGGGTGGAGATGCCTTGCGGGCCTTGGGTCAGGTTCTCCTTTGTGGGACCTGACATTTTTCAGCTCTTTGCTATTAAAAGTAATCAACCTGTTCTGTGGCCAGTGTCTGCCCATTGCCTCAGTGAGGGAGCCTCGGTAGCACCGCCTGAACCATGGTGCCTTAGCCGGGATGGATGTGGCCGCCCTGGCCTTCCACACCTCTGAAAGGTTAAGAAAGCAGGCCCGTAGCCCGGGGCTTCCCCGCCCCATAACCTGCGGCTCACAGAAGCGTGTGAGCCAGTGCTGGCTTTTAGGCCCAGGGAGGGTGGGTGCGTAGCAGCTCTAGGGGAAGACGTAAGTGGCTCGAAAGGCCAGTGGCAGATGGGATTTAAAAAAAAAAAAGTTTAATATTACAGTCACAAGGCAGAGACAGCTTCCAGAAGACTCAGCTCTGCACCACAGCTCCTGCCTGCCATGCCCCCACTCAGTCCAGCTTCTCCAGCACAGAGGGCACATACACCAGGCTGAGCTCGCTGCCAAAGTTGCAGACGATGGCAGCATTGTCGAGCACCAGGATCTGGCGGGTGGGCTGGGCCTCGCTGTTCTTCCCCAGGTAGACTGTCTGTAACAGGTCCCCGTAGTTTAGGTCCCAAAAGGAGACACAGCCCTGGCCGCCAGTCACCAGCAGGTTGTCGGAGATGACACCCAAGCTTGCACCACAGCCCAGGTCCTGGAGGCAGAGACACGATGAGCTCTAGGTCTCGAATCCCCCCCCTAAAACACCAAGAATCCTGTGGCCCCCAGTCTGCCCACCTGCTGAATGGAGTAGAGTTTGATGCCCGTGCTACGGTCCCAGATGCTGATGAGATCATCCAGGCCACTACTGATGACGCAGGAGGTGGTACAGGTGAGGGAGGTGACGTCCCCACGGTGAGCGAACATGTGGCTGACCCGGCTGCCGGTCAGCACGTCCCACAGGCAGATGGCCCCATCTTGTCCTCCACTGGCCAGCACCATGGTCTAGGGGAACAGGCCCAGGGGAGCCAGGTCACTGGTGGAATACCTTTGTCTACGGGGGTGTCTCTACCCTGGGGAGTGGGGGGCTTCCCGCTCTGCTTCCCACACGGTTCTGGGGCCAGCTGTCCAGAGTAAGAAACAAAGGCCATGGCTTGGTACCCCTGCAGCCCACCACAGCACCCCCCCCCTCCCCTGACCCCCTCACCTGGTCAATGTACACAGTTGTGATGGCCCCTGAGTGGCCCTGCAGGGTGAAGAGGCAACACGAGTCCTCCAGACGGAACACCTGGGGCAGGGGTGGGCATCAGGTTGTGTGGTCTCTGGGGGCTTCCCGCTTACATTTTGGCCAGGAAATCCCTTCTGCATCCTCTCCCTGACTGACCCTGAATGCTTGCCCTCCTATGGCAGGCCACCCCAGCACCCACAAGATGGAACCAACTCTCACTCTCAGAGTGTGGTCTTGGCTCCCAGTCACAAGCCGCCCAGCTGCGGCCTTGAGGGCAGTGATGGGTTTCTGGTGTGCACAGGGGACGGTGTGGGTCAGGCGACAGGATACTGTGTCACTGCTGCTGTACACAGGGGACGTAGGGGAACTGCTCCGCCCTGGAGTCCCTGGGGACAACAGACCAAGTGAGATCTCAGAGAAAACACGCTGCAAGCAGCGGCCGCCCTCCCCGCACCAGGTGCAGACACCTGCACAGGCCTCTGACCTCGGAACTGCAGGGGACTGAGGACGCTGTGGGTCTCCAAGGAGAAGAAGTCCAGGGAACCGTTGAGCCGGGCAGCCACAATCCTGCAAGAGAAGAGTGGCTGCTGGTGGCTCTCCCTCAGAACACCCGGGCTTGGGGCTGAGCACTGCGGCCACCTGAAGGGTCAGCTCCACTAGGCATATGGGAACAGAGGGACCACAGCCAAGATGCAATCACAGGTGCTGGGAAACCTGCTGAAGCCAGGGAACATGGGGTGCAACTCTCCTTTGCCTTTATCTGTGAAATGGGGACAACTACCCACCTCACGGGATGAGCCTGAGGGTAAATGAGCTTGTGTGTTAAGAGGCACCTGGAGAACATCATGGAAGACTAGGGGTTAAGAACCCTCACAGCCTGGAGATTAATTAGGAGGGCCTTCTGAGGAAGGAGATGGGTCCCGGGGCGGCTGTGTGGTGGAGCCACCGGAGGCGGAGGCACTACGTCTGGTCTGTCTCTGCTCTCCGAAAGCAGCTTTGATCCAAGCTCCACCCACTGCACTTCCTTTTTCCACAAAGAAAGGATTTCTTCACTGCCAGGGGGATTCCTAGGCAGAGACAGGGGCATCTGCCCAGCGGCCCCAAAGCTTTGAAACGAGTGGAGTTCCAAATCTTCTCCGGCACAAGGTGATGCTTGCCTATGAGTCCTGAACAGGAAGGGCCCACCAGAGCCTGTGAAGGCAGGGGTGCAGGGAGGGGAGGGCGAAGGGAAAGGGGAGCACACTCGGGCACCGGGAACTCAGGGCAGGGCTGACACCTGGGGGCTTTCCCTGAACCTGAAAAAACAAGCAGCAGGGAAGAATTTCCAAGTGTGGAGGAAGCCTACAAACCTGGCCAGGCTAGAGAAGAGAGTGACCGCCAAGGCCCACGCAAGCAGCCTCTGCATCAGGGCAGAGATGACAGTGGCAGCCACCAGAACCGAGGGCCAAGTGTACCCCGCCCCAAGAAGAAAAAGGCTCCAATTTTAGCTTAGAGGCTGGTACCACTCGGGACCAGCAGGGGTCAGGCAGGACAAGTGTTGAGCAGGAGGCGCCAGGTCTCAGTGAGACCTGGGTTTATTGGCTACGAATGAGGAGCGAAGAAAGCTCTGGTGGCTGGGCCCCCGGGGAGCACCCACAGCCAAGAAGCAGGCCAGGGAGGGAGGCGAGAGCAGCGGACAGCACCAAACATGAAGGAAAGTTTTAAAAAGGTTCTGAGAAAGCGTCTTTCTGTCACGGAAAATGCAGCTGAGACCTGGTAAGGTCTGCGCTGATGGGCTCGTCTGGGAAACCCTGACTGTGAAACAGAAGGGAAACCAAGGTGCAGTCGTTAAGGGCCCCAGGCCCTCGGCGGTCACCCCTGCGGTTCACAGGTGTGGGGCTGCAGTACTGAGAAGGGCCACCAAGCACGGTGGGAAAGGGGCCGGGACGTGGGCTTGCGGAGGGCAGGCAGCCCAGCGTGCTTACCTCTTGTCCAGGAAGACCAGGGCTGTGATGCCCGAGGACACCTCCTCGCTGCTGCAGCGCAGTGTACCCTCGATGGCATCCCAAACCTGCAGGTGCAGAGGCCATGAGCGCCTGAGGCCAGGGAGGACCCCAAGCCCAGGGACGCCCTCCGCCCACCCCCGGGCGGCGCCGCCCACCTCCAGGCGGCCGCTGCTCCGCCCCACGACGATGAGGCTGCCCTGCAGCTCCAGGCTCCAGATGGAGCCATCTGCGCTGGGGGCCCAGGCCAGGCAAGGGGAGCCCTTCTCGGGAGGACCCTCGTCCTCGGGGGTCAGGGGCGGCCCGGGCCCGGGGGAGGGCGGGCGCAGAGCTGGCGTGCAGCTGGGCGCGAGGCCGTCCTCCTGGTACACGCGCTGCACCAGGCGGCTGAAGTCGTAGCCCGGGCCGTCGCGCGCACGGCTGCAGCCCGCCCGGTGCCGGGGCTCGGGCTGCGTGGGCTCCGAGAGCCTCGGCTGTGCCGAGAAGTTGGTGTCGATCAGGCAGGTGAGGTCTGGCTGGTCCCCGAAGAGGGCAGGAGGCGGAGGGCCCCGGGGCCGGTGCCGCAGCGGAGGGCTGTCCCCAGGCTCCTCCGGGCCTCCCTTCCCGCTGTCGGACAACCGTTCCCAGCTCTCCTGCGCCTCGAACGCGATGCCAACGCCACTATCTCGGCGCTGCCTGCGGGGGTCGGGGGAGGCAATGGAGTGAGGGTGGGGGTAGGGGGGGTGGGGGGTAGGGGGGGTAGGGGCGGCCCGGCCACCTACCCCGGGCGCGGGATGCGCGTGAGACAGTCCCCGGTCTGCGCGTCCCACACACAGACGTGGCCCGCCAGGCAGCAGCTCACCAGCAGCATGCCGTCGCTGGCCAGACACTCGATGTCCTGCGGGAGGCGGCGGTCAGCACGCGGGCCTCGCCCCGGCCCGCCCCGCCCGCCCCCGCGCCGCCCCCTCACCATGAGGTGTCCCCGCAGCACCAGCGGCACGATCTCCGTCTCGGGCGGCGCGTAGCCGTAGTCGTCGCAGGGCAGCTCCCCGCGCCGCCGCCGGCCGGGCCCGCTGCCGGGCTGCCCGTAGTTGCGCGGACACAGCACGCGGTAGAGGCAGAGCAGCAGCAGCACGAGCACCATGCCGGCCGCCAGGCCCAGCGCAGCCACCCTGCACGGGCGGGAGGGGTGAGGAGCGCCCCGGGCCCCCTTCGCCCCCCGCCCACGCCCTCCTCACGGGCCTTACTTGTACAGGGTGACGTCGCCGTGGGCCGGCGCCACCCCCGGGGCCCTGGGGCCGGCCTCCCAGAGCCCACCGGGCCCGGGCCGCCGCTGGGGCCAGGCGCTGCGGCCGTCCTGGGGGTGCCGCCCCTCCAGGGCCTCCCTGGGGTTCAGGCGCAGCGTGACCGGGATGACGGGCAGCAGGCTGATGTACCTGGGGGCGGCGCGGATCAGCCGAGAGCCTGCGGAAGGGCCCCTCCCCACTGCCCACGTGCAGGCTCACCTGGGCAACTCCAAGCCCCCCTCCCTCTGGGGACAGGCTTCCCAGCAGTTGGGGGGGGGGTGCCTTGCTCTGTTACAGCCATCACTGTGCACGGGCTCCCTCCTTTGCCCATCCTGGCACGGGGGGGGGGGCTGGTGGCGGCTGGGGGGCTGAGGGACTGGCAGCAGCACCCTGTTACTGTCCTGGGCTGTGTGCTGCCTGGAGCGCTGGGTCCTACCTCACAGCCCTATGGGTGTTTCTTGAAGGAAACACAGAAGGAAATACAGAATTCAAAGCAATGGGTCTCCCACCTGAGGGGGAAGGGATGCTTTGGGGACAATGAGCCGACACCAAATGGGAAGGTGGCAGCTGGCACAGCCCAGCTCACCTCTTGGCCAGGGTGATGTTGTAGTAGCTGAAGAGCGTGGGCC